TGGAGGCTTTACCTCCTTTTGAGAAATCCTTCGTGCCTCCTGTAATAATCACTCCTTTTGTTGGCATGGCGTCGTGGTTACCCATTGGGCTTCTAATCACCAGATCAGCAGTTTGAAACCACCAGCTTCTGTGAGGGAGAAAAACGAGGTTCTCTACTTCCGAAAAGAGCTACAGTTCTGCTCTCTCCTCTGGGGTTGTTATAACTTAGAATCAGCCTTAGGGAAAGGAGGGTGCTGTTGTGGGGTTAAGTGTTGGGTTGCTAAGTGCGAGGTCAGTGGTTCAAATCCAGTAGCCTCTTCACAGGAGAAAGAAAAAGAGGAGGCTGTCTGTTCCCATAAAGCGTTGCAGTTTCAGAAACCCTTTGTAGGGTCATTTAAAAGTTGGAATCGACCCAAGGGTAGTGGGTTAGCTTTTGGTGGGGAGGGTATGTATTCATAAGAATCACAGGGAATCTTGTAAAAAATAGATTCTAGTTCAATATATCTGGATCAGAAACCTCACAGCAAGAGGGCCAACTGAAGTGAACCAGATCACAGGCCTGGTGTTAAAGTACCAATCTGTAGTTCGTTTCTCGTTATCCCTATGCCATTTGATAAAAATGAAAAGGTAAGTTATTCTGCAAAATGAGCAAAGGATGAATTTTCAGTCACACACACAGTGTTTTTAGTAGTTTACAAACTGTACCTTAAAATAAATTTCTTTGAAAGTGTGAGTGTGTGGCAGGGGCAGAGGGAGCATTACAGTGCACAGAACTGCAGTCTACTCAAGGATTATTTCGCTTCAGTGCAGTACTTTCCAAGTCAAAAAGGTGCAGAGCATTTGCAAGAGGGTCACAATGTCACATACTTCTACCTGCCCAAATCTGCTGCCGCTGGGTGGGCTCTATCATAGCGACCTCAGAAGCAGAGTAGACTGCCTCAGGCGCTTTCTGGCCCTTAATCTCTATGGTCGTCAACTGCCACATCGTTCTCCCTTGGCCAGTGGGTTCTGTTTGCGTTTGCGTGAGCAGCCAATGATTTAACTGCTCTGCCACTCCCTCGTCGCCATCGAGTTGAATCTGACTCGTAGTAGAACCTATAAAATGGTATAGCCCTGATGCTGAAATGGATAAAGTGGTGTTAACTGGACGGTCCACTGTTGGAACTAGCCATTCTGCAGGAGAACGATGAGGCCGTCTCTTGTTTCATATCAGTCTTAGAAACCTGTGGGTTCTCTGTCCTCGAGGGTCGCAATGAATCCGAGTTAATTCGACAGCAATGAAGTTAACATCATAACTTAAATGCGAATGGGTACAGCCACACAGCCTGATTTTTCTGAATTCCTCTGCTTGCCTCACCTTAAGACTATAGGCAGGGGTCAAGGCGCCCTCACAGCGAAAGCAGGAGAGCCCTGGCGCACGTGCCAGAAACGCGGCCTCGGAGCAGTCCTTTTCATTTCTGGGCAACAAGCAGCAGCCCAGGAGACCCACATGCTATAGCCCACACTACCCTCACCCCGGCAAAGCTGGAAACATACCGACGGATGCCAACGGCCCCCCTCCCAGCAATTAAATTGGAAATCCTTGATTATTTGGATAAAGAATGGCCTGAACATTTTCATCTCTTCCAATAAATCACACCAACACTTGTAAATCCGTGATACTGTGAAATACACCTGTCTTTTTTTTTTAAGGGTCCCATTAGCAAATCTAGCCACCCTTCCCTATCCATGGCTAGATTCACAATTGATTTATTATCAGCTGGGCTTGAGGAAAAAGGCAGACGACTAAATGTATCAGAACTGTCACTGGTGACTTCCGCTTCCTTCCCATTAAAGGGATGGTACTGTACACGGGAGAGTGAGCTTCCCCCTCTCCAGTGCCCAGTGGGGAGACGCAAACCTGAGAGCATTGTGATTGTTCTCAGTAAGCACGGTTGACATGGGCAGCATGCAGCAGCGCAAGTGCACAACAAACAAAACGTGTTTCTGAACGCAGTGGAGGAAACACTACGCGATAGACAATATGACGTGTAATTCGCTGATACATTTCATAAAATGGAGAGGGAAAGATGTACACCCACATCGAAAGGGAAGCCTCGTTGGTGTTGGTTGGAGTGCAGATCTAGGCAGTCCAAGATGAGCTTCAGTGCTTTCTCAAGAAAACACTTCACTAAAGGTTTAAATGAGTCATCTCTTTTAAACTATGTAAGGGAAGGGGAACTCCAGCATTTTTTCAAAGCTAGTTTCACAGCCCCACACTCCCCACACAAAAAGAATATTGATTAAAACATTAATGAGAAATTCATACAAAATTTAGAAAATGCAATGCAAAATGTAGGAATGCAGCCCATTAACAATATATGAGACTAAATGAGTCCATGGAAGGCCTGTAAATTGGGCGAGAATATAAATTGCACTGATTCCATGAATTCATCATTGCTCAGCTATCCAAGACAAGGATCAATGTTTCCTCTATTAACAAAGACGTATTTGCAGCTAGCCTGAAATTTCTTCAACAAGGCTAAGAGGATATAATCTTACTAGTTATTTTCTTAGCTATGCATAAAGGAACCTTGGTGGCATAATGGTTAAATGCTTGGCTACTGGCTGAAATGTCAGTGGTTCGAATCCACCGGCAGTGCCCCAGAGAAAAGATGTAGGTATTTGCTGCTACAAAGATGACAGTCTCAGGAAAACCCTATGGGGACCCTGTACAGAACCTCCACTCTACAGGGTCACGACGAGTCAGCATGAACTAAACAGCACGCCCAACAGCACAACCTGCTTAATGAAAGGGAACGAGTCACCATAGCAATGAGGCTGTAACTTAAATACATCTGTGCCTAGTGATAGACACACTCACATCTAGTGTTCCTTTGGGATTTAGACCAGTAATTCCTGGATCTACCTCAGTAATCTTAGGCCTCATCTTAAATTCTTTCATTAATTTTTATTGAACACCAAAACCCTGACCTGAACTAGATCTCTTTGATGACAACCAATGAATTGCCCATAATGGAGGCACAACCAGAGAAGCCAAGACCATAATTATCTCTCTGGTGACTGAGGGCAGTGGCAGAAAAAAATGGGTAAAGCCCAGATGGATTTACTTTAAGCTAAAGGAGGAATTTTTCCAGAGTCCTAGTGTCCGTGGTTTGAACCCACTGTTTAAAAACTCAAGTAGATCATTAAGGGAATCTGAGAAACTGTCACAGGTGTACCAAAAGTGATCGGTTCTTCTAATTACAAACATCTCGATGTGACTCTTTGGTATTTAGGTAATTTGATTCTTCACTTTCTCTTTACCTCAGAAATTTAAGGTTCTATTTGAATTTAGCAAATGCGTCTCCATCCAACTGAGATGAGATGCACCTTTCTTCCCCGACGGAGCACAGTTTTTGAAAGGAGGCCTTGATCAGTCACAGGAAGGGACACACCGGTGGGGAATGTGGTGTTGATAACCTATGGAAACAAGTTTTCTCCTGTGCCAGTGAGAAGGTAGCCAAGACGTTTTAAAGAGTCTGAACACTCAGTCAGTCCATCTTCAATCTATCAATGGGAAATCATGATTACTTATTGACTTGGCCACATGACTTTATTGACTTTGCACACAACAGACATCCAATAAAGGTTTAATGACCTGACTTTAAAGAAGATTGGAGCCCTGCTCAATTTTGGCACTGACTTGCAGAATCACCTTTACTCATTTGTTTGGTAATACTATACCTGAATTTACTAACATTTGAATATATTCAGTAATCTTTGGTCCCATGCCAGGTGGGCAAGAGATGAGGTGAGCATATCCTACCAATGAAAGATGGACGGTTTTCAAAAACTGCCACTAGAAATTTGATGGTCAGAGCTAAAATAAGACCCCCTATAAAGCTTTCTTACTAAGAATCAAACCTAAATCTGACCAAGCACTGAATCGAATTACCAATGTTCAGGAAACACTGAACATTTCATGAGACACAGGGACTCTAGAGAACAAACCAACAAACCACAGGGAAAAAGGGAAGAAATAGGGCCCTCGAGGGAGTTGACACATCAGACTATTGCAATGTATGGGCTTCACTGAGATTCCAGTTTGAACCCTTAAGATCATAAAACAACGGAATATATTTGAACACAGAATTGATATGTTAAAACAAAAACTATTATTAATGTATCTTCAACTCAGAATGGTATCCATTTTAAATGAATCTTTGCCTCAGGAAATGGTATGTCTAGGATTTGCTTTGAAATCACCTAGGATGGGGATGGAGTATGTGAACGTGTGAGTCACAAGACTGGCTAGGAGCGGGTAACAGTGGAAAGCGGGTCACCTGTCTATGGGTTCACGATACTAGTCTTGACCTTTTCTATAATAATAATAATAATAATAATAATACATGCTTTTAAGAGACAAAGGCAAAAACATTATCTGATAGGGAGCTCTCAAACTGTACTGCCGAAGAATCAGTAAGAACGGGAGAGCACGGAGGAGTGAAGGATTAGCATGGCACGAGTTACTGCAATTCACAGATACCACACAAACTAAGACAAAAGCATCAATCCCTCCCCACCCTGGTAGCAGGATGCGGTGGCTGGACTTTTTCTTTCCCTGCCCTGTCTTGGATGAAATGGCTCATGGGCAGACAGCCTAAGATGGAAGACAAAGCAAAGGACCTGCATGAACCACTAATGGGGCAGGACGATCCCCGAGTCACCAAGAGCCGGTCATCCACACAATAATGGTTTGGGTTTGGTAGGAAAACAGATGTCATGGGCCATTAATTTTCATCTTGAATTTTTACTCCACGAATCACTCATAGCAAGTCATAGAAAGGTCAATTACTTCCACTTCCACTGCTCTCTATAGAGTAGGTGCTCAATAAATGAATGCTAATCAGTTCAGATGACACCCTGGGCCCAATCACTCAATTACACGTGGCCACGTTACCAAAGCTTGGCTTTTAAACGTATGTCATATGAGAAGTGGTTTGCATTTGATACAGCCAATGCATGGGGTGTGCTCTACCTGATATCCAAAGAAGTCCATCAGCCACATAGCCAGCGTGACAGGAAAGGGAGCGGTCAAAGGGCTGCACGAACGTCCACTTGTTCTTCTTGGGGCAGTACCGCTCCACGGTGGGCAGAACCTGACGCAGCTCGTTCCGGCCTCCGACGGCATAGAGACACTCCTCCATGGCGCCCAGCACAAAGTGCTCCCTGCAGTTTTTCATGGGTGCGATCTCTGCCCAGGAGTTACTGCGGGGGTCGTAGCGACAGGCCGTCCGCACGGCACACGTCCGGCCGCTGGCGTGCTCCACTTCTCCGCCGGCGACGAACAGAAAGTCTCCCATGACGGCCACACAGTGGTGGCTCCTCCCCACGGGCATGGGCGCCAGCTCACTCCAGTTGGCAATGGCGGCGATGAGAGCAGTCTCCTGGTCCACAGGATTGAAGTACCGGAGCTCCTTGACTTTGCAGATCTCTCGCTTTTTCCCGCCGATGATGTACAGCGTGTCCGACTGGAACCGTGGCTTGGTCCTGCCCGTCTGCCAGACGGGCTGCGCATAGATGCTCTGGTGGTATTCCAGCGCCTCGTGGACCAGCGCCGTGGCCGTCTCGCTTGCTTGGACCAGCGGGTGGGACAGGGCGACAGTGTGGAGAGTATCCACGTCCATGAGGCCAAAGCGGATGTACTTCAGGAGTTCGTCCATGTACTGGTAGTGGCAGTTGTGTTCCAACCACCTCACGGCTAGCTGAAACAGAGGGAAGGGAGATGAGAGAAGAACACAAAAGTAAGAAACAACACGAAGGCCAAGTCAGCGGCACAGAGGTGAGTCACGATGCATTCCTTCAGATACTTAGGAGTAGAATTTTCCCCCTTACAAATAGTGTAACACAAGAAAGCTTTGATACTCAACGAAGGATTATTTTTTTTCTTACTTGAGCAGATATATATGTAAATAGCTAGATAGATACAGATATTGTTAAAGAGATTATGAACAATATTAAGTAACACTGATGAGGGGTTTAGAGTACCATTTGGGGTGCATAATAGTTGCTTTCAAACAATGATGATTGTGCTCCTGGGGTACACTACCAATACGAAATGTCAACCACGAGCAGTCATCCCGTCTCAAATAATACATGTCAACCCAGAACCATGGCGCAGCATCAATACAGATAACACCAGAAAATATGTGATCATCTGAGACCACAGGGGATACTTGAGAGAAAATCAATACGACACTAGTCGGATGGTTTAGAAAGAATAAAAGACTTTCTTCCCATCCCTTTGCTAGTACGGCAGGCAGACCACCAGAGAAGAAACAGTAAGATCACACCTATCAATTGTCTTTCCTTTCCTCAATTAGTTTCCATCTTGTCTACATCTGTTGTTTGCAAATGTAAGATGCTGGCAATTTGCTAGAGCCATTTTCACAAAAATGGGCTGGAGAGCAGATATCTTGGCATTCTGGATACAACAACAGAGTACACCCTACACCTTTGGTTTCCACTCTAGAACTCTTTCACGAAGGAGAGGCAGTCCGATAAGATCTTTTGGCTACAGATGTGCTGCTTAAAACTAAAGCAGACACACAAGAGCATGAACAACAAAATTGAATAAGAATTTTAAAACAAGCAGCATCGACAATACCCCCTAATCCATATTATGGAGCAGCTGCAATAATTTAATTAATTGGACTTAATCTTTCAGTTTTATAAACCTGTGTACACATCAGTATAAAGAAGTACACCTAATATATCATCAAGTTATTTGATATGAATTATTCTCTGTGTGTGTGTTTGCATTTTTAACAGGCAGGGGACTTTTGTCTATTTTATATAGTTTTTTCATGTTTTCAAATGAAAACCAGAAGCTAACTACAATTGGAAACCAGTACACACTAGTTCTCCTCCTAAGGATATGAATTATTCTTGGCAATTCCTACATTAAATTAGATTTCCCGGATAATATAAATGTGGATCTGAGGGAATGAACATGGAACAATAAAGCAATGGATACACATACTGAATAACTTCGTTGTGTTTTACTCGCTTGCTGACATGCAATCGGGGCACTGGGTGTTCCCAGTTCAACTGATGCAGATCATTGGATTAAAAAAAAATTCATAGAAGGAAGGAAATGAAAATGCGTTGGTAGCTGATCATGACTCGTTGGCACAAACGACATGGGTTTTCATCGTGGCAAAAAGAATCTCTGTGCTCTCTTTGGTACTGGATGATTTCAGAGTTTCTGTCTCTAGAGTCATGGGTCGCCTACAGTCTATGATACGTTCTGTGAAATAGGGCATTGTCATTGGAATGTTGTGTTCTGTTTTTTCCTTAAGCATTTTAAACAAGCTTTGTACCTTAGCAATGACTGTCAGTGTGCAGTGAGAGAAATTCTTAGCGATTTCTCCATATCTCACACCAGTCCCTACAATGTAGTTAATTACTCTATGTGGCCCTTCTAGGAAGAGTCTTTCATGTTGTGATGCATTGTACAGCCTAGCCTCTATACCTGTGAGTATTATCTGTGTTAAAATAAGAACTAATTTCTGGTTTTAAACTATTCCCTTAATAGGTACCACCAGTAGCTTCCTGCTTAATGGAGAAAAGTAGAAGGCTGGGCTCATGCAACTGGCTGAAAGTAGACCTGGCCCACTCAAGGTGTGCAGGTGATCATTGTGTCCTCCAATTAACCTCTTAACATTAGAAGGCAAAAGCCACACTTCCATCAAAGCCCCATATCTCTGTGATCTCCCCTTATCTACTGAGCATATGCAAAAGGATTGAGCTCCAGCATCAGTGACGAACACCAATCAGATGCCAATAGCGGACCTAAAAGACTCAGGTAGCCGCACTGTAGTCCTGACATGCTCCTTTGCCTGGCTAAGCAAGCAAGAACTTCGTTCACGTTCAGACATTCCTTATCTCTGCAGCCGCACTGAGCAGATTGGGCAAAGGTTGGTCTCTTCCTTTTAAGCCTGGGTCTGGCTTGCTTCTGCCTGACCTTGTTTTCAGGACGTGAGCTGGCAGTCTGTCTCTTGATTTGACTCACCAATTTCCACAGCCTTGTGAGTCAGCAGCACTGAACTGTTGAGGAGGACCGTTCCTTCAAATGGTCATTTGAATTTAGGATTTGGGATTTGCCAGCATTTGAAACCACATGAGCCATCTCCCAATGGTTCAGGCATTCTATGAGACATTGTAGTAAATTGTGGAAACCTGAGACACATAGGCCATGAACATGTCTCATGACGTAGTGGATTATGTGTTGGGCTGCCAATAGCCAAGGTCAACAGTTCAAAACCACCAGCTGCTCTGTGGGAGAAAGATGAGGTTTTCTACTTCCAGAAAGATTTACCAGTGTCAGAAACTCACAGGGCCAGATCTATCCTGTCCTAGAAGAACTTTAGGAGTCAGAATCAACTCTAGGAAAGTTGAGTTTATTCTTTTGTTTTGGCAGAGGTACATGCGGGACTATGCTAAGAGGAGGGGTATTGGTTGATACCAGGGATAATGAAGTGGCATCATCTTTGGGGAACGTTCGACATTTGGGACATCTTTAACTTCCACCTCATTTGGACCAGCTTTGTAGTAAGACTTCTGAAAGAAATGATTTTTGAAGTCCCGCTATTATTTTCCTTAGCTTCGTAGCCTTCAGTGGAGCGATGATCCTTTACCAGCCAGGAAATTTCTTCTTCGATTTTGAGGATTGTCATGATTGACAAGAGTCGTGAGCGACAGCAACCACTGATTTTCTACCTCCATGTTGCTTAATAACCTTTGGTTCACTTCCAAATCAATAATTACCCTTTGCCACCTGCTGCTGTGTCAGTTTTGCTGCATTTGGGAGCCCAGATGCACTTCACTGCAATCTTTTTGAATAAAAATAAACAGAGAGGTGTATGATACATGAGAATGGATGCCTGTGAATCAAAGCAGACACCACCACATGATCAACGTCTTAGAAAATATAGTACTCCAAACACACACACAAAACAAACAAACCAACTCACTGCCACCGAGTTGGCTCTGACCCATATTAACCCTGTAGGATGGGGCACTAGTGGGTTCTAAAACCATAACTCTCTAAGGGAGTAGAAAGCTTCATCGTCTCCTGTGATGCAGCTGATGGTTTTGAACTGTTGACCTTGTGGTTAGCACTTGTCTCCCACCCCTTTCTAATGTAGTAGGTAACCCATTACACCACCAGGGCACCAGAACACACCTGGGTCTATAACACAGGTGTTTAGTATAGCTATCCAAGGCACAGGTGTGATAGGTTATATATGCACTCCACTGGGATCTGATGGCGTGGCCAGTGCATCACAGGAGACGAGACCCACGTGCTGCGTGGGTGTGACGCTGCTGGGTTTGCATCATCCCTGTGACTGGATGACATTTCCTACGATGACTCTTCCACCGAAGTCTCTCTCACTTCTACCACATGGAAGTGACTTCGCCAACAGGGCATGTGTAACACGAATAGGGAAGACTGGTCCGTTTTCACTACTATCACTCCTCGCTCTCAGGACCCGCCGTCTCCGAAGCTGCAGAGGAGAGAGAGGGCATCCCAGGACCTCGAGAGATCTCTGTCCGAAATGGCAGAAGCCACCGAGATCCGGTGCCCCGGGGACTATGGCATGGAGACTTACAGACACAGCGCTGAGACTCTGGGGTACCCTCTCCTCCTTTGGCCCCAGACTACGGAACTGTGGGACTGACGGACAAGCCTTCCAGACTCGTGAAGGCAAAGGCCATAGACCATGTGGTTGCCACACTGAGGGCTGGAGAGAGAGACCTGGCTGCTAGCTGGGGAGACAAGTGACTGTGTCCTTGCTTGCTGACCCTGACTTGTGGTAACCGGTTAACTTCCCTAACAAACTCCCTTAATTGTGAGCATTGTCCCATGAGTTGTGTGTGGCTTTTGCAATGGATTTTGAACCCAGCATGGATGTAGACTGGCAAGGGAAGACCGATCGGTCAATGTCAGAAGAGGTGACGCAGGCATGTCTTTCCCGTGGCAACAGGGAAGCCAGAGGAGATCAGATATGGGTCGCCATCGTTGATTACTGCCGCCCCTTTCTAATGTCAGGGTTTCTGAGCTCTGAGAGCTGCCTGGGACTCCGGCTGCATATGTGGTCAGATGTGGCCTGACAGATCTTCTGTAGTTATGACTGCTTGCACAAACGTTTGCATAGTGGAACGTGAACTTCAGGCTTGTCTTTTTAGCTTCCAGAGTGAACGCAGGGAGTAAATTCATTTTTAATATGTAGTGAAATGCACCTCTTAATGAATTGCCTAGTGAAGAGAAATGAACAAGAATGTCCCTGGATGCCAGTGCCACAGTGGGCAGATATTCAGCTGTTTGCAAGCTAATGGTTTCTGTGTAAATAATATACCTTTGCAAAGAGAATGTATCTGGATAAGGGAATACCAGCAATAATAAAAAATATTACAGAAGGAAAACTCGGTAATCACCAGGTCTCTCTCTGTCAGAAGTAGAGAAAGTGCCTATAGGCAACATCCTAATTTTTCTCCATCCTAATTTTAGAAGTTTCCAGGGATGGGGTTTGAATTATTTCCCTGGGGAGCTAATTCAGCAAGTTGAT